TTGAAGATAAACAAGCGGCCATCTAGCTGAGAAGCAACAAAGCCCACATGGAAGAAGCACACCAGCCTGTGTGATCAAGAGGTGTTGATGGGATCAGGTATCAGGCATCAAAGAACAAAAAAATCATATCACTGTGAATGAGGGGGAGTTGGGAGTGGAGACCCAAAGCCCATCTGTAGGCAACTGGCCATCCCCTTACAGAAGGGGCGAGGGGAGGCGATGAACCATTCAGGGTGCAGTATAGCAACCATGCAACATACAACTTTCCTCGTTCTTAGCAACCATGCAACATACAACTTTCCTCGTTCTTAGCAACCATGCAACATACAACTTTCCTCGTTCTTTAACGCTTCCTCCTCCCCACTATTACGATTCCAATTCTACCTTACAAGTCCGGTTAGACCAGAGGATGTACACTGGTACAGATAAGAGCTGGAAACACAGGAAGTCTAGGACAGATAAACAGCTCAGGACCAATAATGAGAATAGAGATACCAGGAGGGAAAGGGGAAGGTGGGGTAGAAAGGTGGAACTGATCACAATGATCTACATATAACCCCCTCCCTGGGGGATGGACAACAGAAAAGTTGGTGAAGGAAGACGTCAGACAGTGTAAGATAAGTCAAAATAATAATTTATAAATTATCAAGGGTTAATGAGGGAGTGGGGCGGGGAGGGAGGGGGAAAATGAGGAGCTGATACCAAGGGCTCAAGTAGAAAGAAAATGTTTGGCGAATGATGATGGCAACAAATGTGCAAATGTGCTCGACACAATGGATGGATTTATAGATTGTGATAAGAGTTGTACGAGCCTCCAATAAAATGATTTAAAAGAAAAAGGAAACTATATAGCAGTTCTGTTCTGCAGCATATGGGGGTTTGGTTTGGTTTGGGGGTCCCTGGCCATAGATATTGAGGCTACTATCATTGACAAGAGTATAATTTTCTTTGAACTTATTTGAAAACTTCACGGTGTTTTTCATCCATACCCTCACCTAACCCTCCGTAACCTTAGAGTAATGCCCCCTATTTTGTAAGTCAGGAAGCGGAAACCCAGAGCAGCCGAGCATTGCTCAGGGTCACACTGCTGTTAAGTAGCAGGACCAGCTTTTAGCAGCCATCATGAGAACTGTGTCATTTCACAACATCTCCAGTCACGGGACTCACCTAACGTCTTCTTTTCTACGTGCTGCTGTAACAGAACGCCCACCGTGCATGGCTTTGACAACTCGATTCTAGAAAGGCTGACAGCCTGGGGAATCCTGCAGGGTGGTTCTGATCTGTCCTGTAGGGCTGCTCTGTGTTGGAATTGACTCAACAGTGGGTGGGTGGAATGGACCTTAGTATCCAGCCTGCTGCTAACCTACAGATTACTCCTCCCCACCCCCCACCCACCCCCATGTTGTACTCCCAGTCTCCCCAGGATTCCCTTCTGCATTTTCAGATACTTTCTCTTTGGTCTCATGGTCTCTATTCGTCTCCACCTTGCTGCTCTATGGAGTCTTGGTGGCATAGTGGTTACATATTGGGCTGCAATCTGCATGGTTGACAGTTCAAGATCACCAGCAGCTCCACAGGAGAAAGACTGGGCTTTTTACTCCCGAAAACGGTTACAGTTTTGGAAACCCACAGGGAGTGGTCACTATGAGTCAGCATGGACTCAATCGCAGTGAATTTGGGTTTTGTTCTTTTGCTGTTCCGTGGTCCTTCTTCTTAAAGGGAGGAGACAAATCCCGAGAAGTGAACTAAGTTGTTTGAAGTCTATCTCAGTAGCAAACCCCAGGAATTCCCATTCTTCTCAAGGCTTTCCCCAAGAATTCCTCTTCTTCTTAAGGCCATCCATAGCTCGTTATGATCCACACAGTCGAATGCCTTACATAGTCAGTAAATCACAAGTAAACACCATTCTGGTAATTTTTGCAACCAGCCCAGATCCATTTGGCATCAGCAGTCCCTTGATATCCCTTGTTCCATGTGCAAGGAGACCAGACGTCCCAATTTTTGGCGTTTTAAAAAAGTCCCGTTTTTGGAAAGAATGCACGACAAGCTAGGGAACGGTCTATTTGGTCCATATAGACCAAATTTTTAATCAAGAACACACACACCCCTGCCCCCCGTCAATGGTGTCCCGCTTTAAATCTGGTTACCTTATCCATGTGTCCTCTTCTGAAACCAACCTGAACCTCTGCCAATGTACTGCTGGATGATCTTCAGCAAAATTTGACTTGTGTGTGATATTAATGATATTCTGTAATTTGAGCATTCCTTTGGGTCACCTTTCTTTGGAGTGGGTATACAGATAGAGATCTCTTCCAGTCTGTTAGTCAAGTTGCTGCATGGTAATTAGGTAATAACGACAGCTCTGACTGAAGGGCATTATTAGAAGGCTCAAAACGTCAATTAGCCTATAATTTTACCCTTGTGATACATGTGAGCTGGGCTTCTGAAAAAAGGTTTTTGTTGTTATAACTAACAACAGGTTCCTTTATAAAGACATTGCACTTCTATTGAAACACTGCACAACATTTTCAGACAATTATTTTGGTGTCACCCACTCTGACAGTGTCACCATGTACAGCCCACACCCCAATAACCCCGTAATAACTGTACTGTACTCCTAAGAGACCCTCCCACTGGTTCTTCTTTGGGGGGGCCTGCTCACAGTCCATGCTTTGCAAGTCCTTTCATGGGGAAAACCTTGCTAAAGTAAAAGGCGAGGTGGCCCAGTAGCCTCTTAGTCTTCCGGTCTAATGCTGCAGAGCCCACATCCTTGGTGCCCCGATGGCCCAGAGAGTACAAAGCCTGTTCGATAGACTCTCTAGAAGCTCAGGTACATGAATATCTTAGGAGATGAAAAAAGTAAAGAAATAAAGAAGCCGCCAACGCAAGCTTCCAAAATGTTGGTGTGATTTAAAATATTGACATTTGACAAATGGATGCTTTTTCATACAGAAGCACCCCAAAGCAATATAATTTTGACAGTCCTATGCTTATGATAGGCCAGGGTTGAACAAGGTACAGTTTCAAACTGAAACCTGAAAGTCTTGGAAAGGAGACTTTTGTGGGTGTGTCCTGAGGTCAATGTATAACTAACCTCCCTCCAAGGGAAGGTTCAAAGTCTGCATTTGAGGCTCTCTGTGAATGTGTGGCCCAGGGCAAATGTCTCCCGCTCGCTGAGATACACTTCAGACATAACTTTAAAATAGCTAAATTTCTAGTTATTCTGGTGGCCCAAAGAAGGAGGTCCCAGGCAGAATTAACAATCTAGTCATGTCACCCTCAGGGCCTGGCCACCTACTTTCCTTCTAAATTTAGGCTCACACTTGAAATATTTTTCTTTCTAGGGCTGGAAAAAAAAATCCAAGTAAGTGCTTTGGGTACATCAGGGATCAAAAGAGACAGAGGCCTCTCCCCTCATGAATCAGAGTCTAGTGGATTCCGATAGAAAACAAC